AGGATATTGCTCACCCTCAGTAATACAGGCGCAAAAACTTGTCGAACAGCTTGATAAAGGGTATTAATAGGTGAATCTAACATAGATGACACAAGAATATTACTGTGAAGATTATCTTCTGTAATTACATCGGGCCGCAGCTTAAAAAATACCAACACGTTGTTCTCTGAATCAGTAGAGTCAATCTGTAAAGATCGAAAAACAGAATTTTGTTTTAGAAAATTATTATATCGAATTATATCGAATACTGCATATCATACCAAATTAAATATTCCATTTATATAACTGATTTACAACAAGAAAATAAGTATAAAATACCATATTATCCCTTATGGATATTGACAATATTCTAGTAGTATTTGATTTGCACAGAAAAGTAAAACTTTTATTATATTCATTCTTGAGTATCTACTTAGATAAGGAACCTGCAGTGTAAATTCCAATATCAAATACTTCATGACTTTTTCATTATAGAATCTCCATGAATATTCTAGTCACTTATGCTACCTGGAATTTGAAACGTCCACTTGCCACTTCCTAGGTGCAAGCCTGAAACTCTCTCTTGTGCCTAGAGAAGACTAAGCATGAAAAATATATGCTTTTTTCTTTTTAATTAGACTTTTATAGTGTACATTTTCGGAAATGCCTTTCTAAATATTGTGTTGTCCTCCTGACTCTGCAGATACATAGCTCTATCGCTGTTCACAGATTTCTTAAGCAGAGAGAAAGGTATGCTTCTTCATCAGTAAAATCATCGGTTAGAACATGTAATTCATATCGCCTTTACAGTTCAGCTTATAGGTAATGCTACAAAAACTGCCACAAAATCAAGTATTGAAACTGTTAGTGGTAGAGATGATTCTAAAACAGAAGAAAAGCATAAAACATTTAATAAAACAGTAACTGAAAGACACACTAGCTGAAATCCTAAACTCTGTGTGATTGTAAAGACTTTCTAAACATCAGGAGAAGGTTTTTACCTCTTAAAAGAAATAAAGGCCCAGTGAAGGACAATTTTCAGTTTTGCTGGACGCTCACTGGACCGTGTTAGTCTTACTTTCTCACCAGGTGTTAAGACCAATGCCATGAACTTTCCCATGTTTCACTGACAAAATAGCTGTTCATTATGGCCGCTATATGCACCTGTTCTTCCATCTTATGATGTTGCTGAGACTGTTAGACAGTGGCTCAGTAGCACACCCAAAGAGCTGGTACACATAAACGTTCATTCTTGCATGATATAGCATGATATACAGTCTACATAGTTGCTTACATCACGATATATATAAGTTACTGGTCTAAAGAGAAGCTTAACATTTTAATAGCTCATTACACCAACTCTTAGCAGACGCAAAACCTGACACTGATATAACAGCCACCATGCTCCTGCTCTCAGAGCAGGATGACAGGATGCACATCAAGCCCCATGATTTGCCTGTGCATTCATAGGCACCGTACAACCAGCAACACACCATGCTCTGATGAGACAGTTACACTTCACACTTCATGGCATGACTTGTATTCTCCAGGCTGCATTACATTGACACAAGGACTATACACAGCACACTAAACTGTCTGTCAGCATGGACACAATTCACTAACAAATATATCACACAACTGACCATGTGGTCTTTGCAGACTCTTGGGACAATACTTCATACAGCAGACTGAGACCAGCACAGCTTTTTTCAGTAGGATATCTCCACATTAGACAGCTGAGTTTTTCACAGCCACTCACACCGGGTCGGACCCCAGGTGCCGCATGCCCACTCACACATGGGATGCCACGGACACACACAGGACCTCAGGGGTGCCTGCATACACTCTGCCGGACACTGCTATACCTTGTTAGAGGCCGTGAGCTGGGTCCCCGAGTGCTGCACAACGAGGAGGAACTCGTTGCCATCGTCGAGGAAGTTGGCCAGCTCAGGACTGGCACAGAGCCCCGGGGACAGGGCCGCTGGATCCAGTCCGAAGTAGTTAGCAGCCGTGGCTGAAATAAAGCGCTTCCTCTTGTCTCTCTCCCCGGCCATACTGGCAGGACTCACCCCCGCGAGGCAGGATCAAGGCAAGGACGGACCTAGACCAGCGCGGGAGCACACGGAGGAGCGAAGGGAGACGGCCCAAGGCAGGGCCGCAGGAGGAGGGGCGCGACGGAAGGGGGCTGCCGCGGGGGGACAGGCCGCGGCCTAAGGCCGCCCGGCGTCCCCGCGTTGCCAGGACCT